AGGCCAAAAGGAAAGGTTTCAAAAAGCAGGTCATACTCTCTAGAGGGTATTTGTGTGTAAAAACAGACGTAAGTAAACACAGTAGATATTTATTTCAAGGGGCTCCATTCGAGTCTGGGCTTAGCAACTACTTACTTTTATAATCCTGACTAAGTCATTTTATTACCCTAAGCATTAGTTTCCTCATCTGTAAAATGGGAAGGCCAAAGTAGGTATTTTAAAGGTCCTTTACAGTTCCATTACTCTAATCTCCCCAAATAGTCCTTGCTGCATCCAAAGTTTAATTAAATAGGGTGCTAAGGGAATTGGAATGATTTCTTAAAGCAGAGATGGCAAATTAACTTGTAAGCTAGACAAAGTGGTTAGTGTAATAACATCACTGAGGCCTCAGAAAGTTTCTCTGAGTTCAACTGTGTGCCTCAGGGGAAGTGAGCTGGAGGTAAGGTACTGGCCCTGCCATTCCTCCTGCAGTCTTCCCTCTGACACTCTGATACATCTAAGCCAACTGTCCTGTGTCAGCAGGATCTTTGGGACAATCTGTCAAAAGGACTGATGACAGCAGATGCTTCTATGGAGAACAGATTCTTTGATGTAAGGATCTGAGGAAACCAGGGATCATACTTCAATAGATGTATAATGAACAAGGGTATGCATTGGGGCTTAGAAAGATGATGGCTTTGGGGGTATACGAGGTCAGCTTGGGGCTTAGAAAGATGATGCTTTGGTCTTGTCAAAAAAGGAGGGCTTGTAGCTACTTGTGAGACTGAGGTGGGGGATTGCTTGAGTGCAGTGAACTATGATTGTGCCACTGCTCTTCCGCCTGGGTGACAGAGCAAGATTCTGTCTCTAAAAAAAAAAAAGATTAAAAATAATTTTTTTAAAAAAGAAGGATTTGAGGGTGGTGCCTGTGGCTCAAAGGAGTAGGGCGCTGGCCCCATATGCCAGAGGTGGTGGGTTCAAACCCAGCCCCAGCCAAAAACTGCAAAAAAAAAAAAAAAAGAGAAGGATTTGAGCTATAGACAGCATTGGACAAAAAACAAGAGATCAAGGCTATTTCAGTGAAAAGGTACTTGAGAAGTGGTGGTTTCAAGGAGCTTCTACTAATTATATTTGTATTTTTATAAACTGCTGGGAAAACTATTGCAATTTCAGGTTGCATCTTAGGAAGCATCTAGTGTCTAATGATAGAAAGTTACAGAAACGCTTGGTGTTTTCCACTAGTGAGACAGTATCTGGGAGGTTGTATTTGGTTCTCAGCTTTACCTCAGCTAACTACAGACCATCCACAAAGCATGCCAAACTGGAATGCTCACAAGTCTAGCTGTACAGGAATAAAAAAGGTTTTACCTGGAAAGGAGCAGACTCACAAATATTAGAAAGCTCACTTTAGAAGCACAGATCAGCCCATGTTGCTTTAAAATCAAGACCAAAATCTGTGGTGAAAGTCAAAGGCTGGCAGCCTTCACCAAGGAGAAGTGGCTTAACTAGAGTTTTTAAGTCTGTGAAGGATAAGCTCGTGAAGCAGTGAGACCCCCGTGGCTATATTCATTCTCCAAACTCTCACAATCTGAACATCTCAAAACTGTCCTGAGTTAGATATACTATTGCTGCTGGAGTCCCAACAACCTACATAACGTACTCATCCATCAACTCTGAGATTAAACATTACTTCCTTCTACAGGACTTTCTGACTTCTCAGATAAGTCGAGTCTGGGTAGTAAGTGCTTGCAAGCATTCTGTCACTTCTTTAATGTGTTTCCTCTAATATATTTATATTCCATGAGGACAAGTGACTGTGTATTTCCAATGTGCAGCAAAGAAACTGGCAATATAGTAAGTATCTGTGAATGAACGATGACCAGTGATGAGGAAGGCTGCAGAAAAATATCTTACAAAGGCAGGGGTCTGGACATTAATTCTCAAGCCTCTACTAACTCTCCATTTACACGATTTTGGTGCAATCTAAGATTTACTTAGCATTTTTGGCAGTAAGAATCTAGGTCAAATTTGTAGTCCACTAGTCCTCCATGCCTTTTTCACAGCAATCTTCTATGCTTGTGAGATTGATTTAACCCACTGAAAGGCTTTACATTTAAAAGGCTTTAATCTAAATATCTGGGTATATTCACATGGTGCAAGATTAAATAGCTAGTTTCCTGTCTAACTTAGCCTGTTGGACTAGAACAAAAGATCAGAATCCGGAAAGGTGAGGAGAAGCAGGGTGACCTGAAAAGGTACTCAAAGAAAACATGGAGGCCAGAGGGAAGAGGCACAATATTTTTCAAGTACTCAGAGAAAAAAACTATCAACCCAGAATCTATATTCAGTGAAAATATTCTTCAGGAATACAGGGGAAATCAAAACATTCTCCATCAAGGAAAACTAGGAAAATTTGTCTTCAGCATGATTAATGAACGGCTAAAGGAAGTTCTCTAAACAAAAAGGAAATGAAACAGAAGGAACCTTGAAAATTAGGAAGAATAAAGGAACAGAGTAAATAAAAATCTACTGAATAGGCTTTCCTTCCCTCAAGTTTTCTAAATTTGCTTAGAAATCCATTTGAAGATTGAAGCAAATATTAAACACTGTCTAATATGAGTCTAAATGTGTGCAGAAAAAAATATTTAAAACAATTATAAACGGGGAACAATAGAGACAAAGAAGAGGAAAGATTTCTATAGAACACTCAACTGTGCAAATGCTAACACCAGTAGACAGTGGTAAGTTACATAATGTAATAACCAGAGCATCCACAGAAGAAGTTATACTGACAGAGTTACTCAAAAGTACTACAGACAAATCAAAATGGAATTCAAAAAGTGTTCAAGTAACCCATAGGAAGGTAAGAAAAAGAAAGCAGGTAAATGAAAAAACAAAGAAACAGAAAACAAAAAATAAAATGGTAAGCTTACATACCAGTAATTAACATTAAATGTAAGTGATCTAAATACATTAATTAAAAACAGAAATCGGCATAATAGACTTTAAAAGGTGATCCAACTATCTGCTGTCTACAAGAAAGTCACTTTAACTATAACAATTCATGCATAAGCAGATTGAAGATAAAAGTATAGAAAAAGATATACCACACAAATACCAAATAAAGGACAGCAAAAATCTCTGTATTAATATCAGATAAAGTAGACAAGAGAGCAAAGAAAATTATCAGAGATATAGAAGGACAATACAATGTTGTACAATATAATGATAAAATTATATAATGAAGATGTAGCGGCTCGGCGCCTGTGGCTCAAGCGGCTAAGGCACCAGCCACATACACCTAAGGTGGCGGGTTCGAATCCCCAGCCCAGGCCCGCCAAACAACAATGAT